ATCGTAATGACACGATTGGAAACAAACCATACCACGGGCGGGGGTAGAACCCGCGATCAGTCTCAAAACTCCAGACCGTCGCGTTAGCCACTGGACAGGCTAGCCACAATAAGATTCGCCCAAGTAGGTATATTTCTACACCATAATATACCTAGTTGGACGAATCTTATTGTGGCTAGCTGGTCCAGTGGCTAACGCAACGGTCTGGAGTTTTGAGACTCTCTGATCGCAGGCTCTATCCCCGCCCGTGGTATGTTTTTTTTTTTTTTTTTACGTAACATTATGTACTAGACTTATCTCTCACATGTTATGTACTGTATATGCCATCTCCATATCAACAATGTATTTCTTAAATCTTTTGCACCATATTATGTAATAAACTATACCTATTGGTAAAAAAAAAATTAAAAGATGGGGTGGTAGGGGAAGTGAAATATTCAAACTGCTTCAGGAAGAAATCCCAGTATTCTTCCTTGAAGCCTTTTTATCCACTTCTCCGAGGCTATGATCCCACAATTTACACCGGAAGTGGACCAACCCAAAATTAATATATTAATATATATATATATATATATATATATTATATTATATATATATATTATATATATTTTATATATATATATATATATAATTAATATAAAAAAATTAACCGTGGCCAGTGACACTACGCTACTCTGAGACTTTTCTCCCTGCTTTGGTTGCTCCCTTGCAACATTACACAGTCCTGATGACGCACTGAGAAGCGTGAAAGTACTTGAGCAAAAGATTTCCCCCCCCCCCCCCTGGCTTGTACGATATATATATATATAATTATATATATATATTTATTTTATATATTTTATATATAGTCGTCCCGAATAGGCAGAATTTTCGATCTTGGCTTAAATAAAACGCTCATTTGCCATATAGGAAAGGGAAAAATTTGTGTAGCAATAATTTTCGCCAAAATCATTTAACCTAAGAAAAAAAAATATTTCCTGTTTTGTTTAGTATTAAAATTTTCTGTAAAAAAATATAAAATATATAGTTGGGTTGGCTAAAAAAATTGCTCTTGCTACAATAAGGTTTTGGGAAGTTTTTTAAGATTCTTTTGGTGCAAATTTATATTTTTCATTAACATTAATGAAAAAATATATCTTTAAAGTGTAAAAAAAAATTTCAGAAGGACTTAATTTTAAATGGTTTTGCTAAAATTTACCATTTTTACATATTCGGCACGACATATATTTAAAATATATATATTTATTGTGTGTTATGTGTGCCCATAGGTTAAAAAAAGGTCATTAGCAAAAAACTCGTTTTAAAATTAAATCTTTTTTAAAAAATTTTTGTATATTTTTCATTTATATTAATGTAAAAATTTGTAATTTTGCACCAAAAATGCTTGAAAACGGGCCCAACCTTATTATAAAAAGCGAAAATTTTAATTTTTGTTAATCCAAATAGATACATTTTTTGTAAATTTTCAATATTTAATAAACAAACACAAGAAATAAATTTTTTTTGTTTGGTTTCGAATAATTTTTGCAAAATTGTTGTATATACAATTTTCGCTTCCTTATTCGGCAAGAAGAGCGGTGTTTTAAACCAAAATAGCAAATTTTTCTATTCGGGGAGACACAC